GCTCGATCCCAGGACCCTGGGACCATGACCTGAGCCGAAGGCAGACGCCTAACGACTGAGCCACCCAGGCGCCCCTTGAATGGTAGAAAGGGTATTAAGAGGAGGCTAGACGGAGATAGTATATAGTCTCTAAAAAATAAACCTCCAGATCACTTGGTAACGTATGACGTCACAGGAATAGAAAGGGAAAATTTCTTAAAGACCATGCTAGATGGGGGGGGGGGGAAGTGAATAAAGAACTACTAGAAAATAAAACAAAGACTAAAAAGAAGTCATTAGATCTTTGTCCTTTTCAAAGGAGCATTCTCCCCCTGACAACTTGCGTCTTGAGAAAGGTCACAAACACCCTTTCCCCGTTTTCATGCTATTTCCACTCCTCCACCGTAAACCCTACTTTCTAACAGGATGGAATAGAAAGCTACAGGATCTTAAGACTTGCAAAATGATTATTTCGTATTTTAAAAAGCAATCTTACTTGGTAAGAACAATTAGACCTATTAGTTCTTTAGAAACTTGTTCTTGAAATTTATGTTCTTCCGTTTGATGATATAAGTTGAACATGAAATCTAACACGGTTTCACTGCGAAGGACTTTATGACTGACGTCAGTGCAAAGCATGATGTTGTTCTCGTATTGAAGAATAGAGGTGGTGAAGCCAGGCCAGATCACCAACCTGTCAAACAGAATGAGAGCTATGAAGTGACCCCTATGAATGACACTAACATGTTCTGTGTATATCAAGTTGTGTTATTCTCCTTTATTAACTACGTCTAAAGTACAAAAGTTTTCGAATTGAGTAAGTTTAGTTATTTCTAGGTTTTACATGGGTCCAGATAAAGATCCTCTTTTTAAGATCCTCAACAATGAACATTATTTTATAGTATAATAATTTAAGTTCCACTTTGAATACACTAACTTTATTCAATGATTTTTTATGTTGGTAAGACTTGAAAAAGTTGCCAATCTAACTGAAAGCATCTGTAGTTATTATAATAAACCTAAAAACCGTGTGTGCTGCACTTGGATACACTATGGGAACTTCTGAAACAATCTTCATTAGCTCATAAATTTTGTTCCCCAAGAGCAAATACAAACTTAGTGTTGGACAACTCTTCACGCTTCCCTAGTGACAGATGAACAGCATGTGATTTTTTTTAAATCCAAGTATTCTAAGATGTCTCCTTTAAGTTAAATGTTTACTTAATATGATTGGTACCATTAATAGCCACAGTAATAAATTTGATTATTTCAAATTAGAGCATCGCTTTCAAAGTCTGTAATTATGCCTAAGGAACAGAAAGCTTCCATTTCATACAAACCTATGATTTGGAATATCGATCGGGTCACTTGGGTTATAGTAATTCCGTCCAATTTGCTGTAAATTCATGATCTTCAAGAGCCTAGAAATTGAAAGGTCAGAAGAGAGGAGTAAATACTGGTAAGTATCTCTAATGCACAGGGACTCACCACACCGGTCTTTCAATTCTTCTCTAGGTTTTCAATTTTCTTAGTAAAATGTTAAGAAAACACTAACATACCTCCTGAAAATAATATTATAGAACTGCAAACAAGTTGGTGATGTAGGTGGGAGTTCATTTGTTAAGGTGATTGTTATCCTCACATGCTCTCCATTTCGGGTCTGACTAAACACTTCAGTAACCTGAGCCAGAGGAGTGGAAAACCAAACTTTTAATTGTTAAAAGAAACTAATAATCCCAATTACGTAATTCCTGCTAGTAAGTCAGCAATGAAAAGTATGGGAAAGTTTTAAATTAAAAAAGAATGACTATGAGAAGAGTGTTTACGGGCCCATATTATATTTGTCATCAAGTTATTCAGGTAGATTTGAAAATGAAACAATACCACCAAAGTCCCCTCTGGGTTCATTATACACACTATAAGACAGAAGACTACTGGAGTTTCTCTAAAAGCTACCCTACATTGTGGCAGTTCTGCTCTGAAGTGGAAATCCTTCATCACCCTCTCCCCAACCCAACATTTTAAAATAACCTTGTGCTGTAGTCTTTTAGGTAAAAATAGTATTGTTCCATCAAAAGCATGACACCTTCCAATTAAATCTTCATGTTGAAAAAGAAGAGCTGAGCGGAGTCTTCTGGCTTCCATCAGCGGGTTATAGTCAATGTGATACTGATATAAAGCCCACTGGGGACGGGACGTCAATCGAAAATGGTTAGTGCTCAGCCTTACTATAATACCTGAAGAACCTGTAAAAGCGAGTCAAGTTTCATTAACGCAATAACGAGTTTATTCTTCCCTGAAATCTTCCCTACCATGACAAGGCAGACACAGTTCTGTAAACAAAAGGCTAGGAATAGGATATGACACTGAAGTTCTCAGATATCTGACTTTGAGGACGACTATCCTATCCAGGTAAGTTGCTACAAGCATTTGTTTAGGAATAAATCCTCCTCAGACCAAGTAATTTACAACAGAACCAACCAAATCTCTCTATGGCAAAAAGTTTTAAAAGAAAAAAGTTACGTAACACTTAGTAAAACATTTCAGTGCAGCTGAAGACACTAATAACCTATTTCATCAAAGCCAAGAGAGAGAGGGAAATGGAAAAGCCATGCAGGATCCTGACCAAATGTGCCTTTTCTTCCTACTACTGCATCATACAAGTAATTACGTGAAGTAAAGGGCTTCAATTCAGTGTCCTGTGTACTGGAATAGTAATCCCAGGAAACTGCATTCTTCATAATTAACCCACCTGTTTTTGATTCTTTAACATGGTCAAGGTTCTGTCTTGTATTCACACCAAGATCATGAAAGTCTCTACGACGACCTCCTCTCTCTGCTAACGATAACTCCTGAAATCCAGCAGATATCTGGAGCTCTTAAAAAAAAAAAAATGATACCCTATGTCACATGAAACATGAAATAAAGAATGATGAAATTAATTCCCAAAGTACATGAAACCCGAAAGCTACAGAGGTGCTACAGATAACATACAGGAATTCCAACAGAACGTTTTATGTATCTGCTGGCCAAACAGAGGACCTTAGCTATGACTTCTAGAAAGCCTCCTTGCCACTGCCCCAGCCAAACTCAGTTGCTCCCCTGTAAGACATATATCCCTGTAAAAAACTAAGACAACTGGGCCCGGGATTCAAGAACTCAGGAGCACGCTTGTTGACTGGGAAATCATTATTCTGTACTGCTTAGTTCTGATAACAACCTAAGTAAGAGCCTAAACAGCAGTGTTTTTCATGGTTTTATGACGCACTTATCGCTGTAGCAACTGGTGCTTCATAGGTTTTAATGTGCAAATGTCTAGAGTGTCATTTCCTAATTCCCTTAAGAACAGATGGGATCGTCCTGTGCATACCCCATGGCCACCATACACATGGCCTAGTGGGATAGGTTAGCTAGCAGTTCATGTGGTTTCAAAAGCTGGTTATAATTTCCAGAATTATTAAATCCTTCAATTTGTACAACATACGAAGTACCTCCGGTCAACAGTATGATGTGGGCCAAAGAATGAAGATGGGTTTTGTCGTCTGGCATTACAATTGTAGCTTTCAGTTAACGGGGACCATACCTCAAGTACCAGAGACTTTAGTGGACTTCCCAATCTCTCAGTCTTCTTTTTAAAAATAGGCTTTTTTAGAGTCATGTACCTAATGGACTAGAATTCCACCTTCCCTGCAGGTAAGGACGGCCTAAGAGATTTACCAGAAGTTACTGGATCACCCTCTGGGAAAGTGCCTTGAGAGGGAGTCAGTAGCCAGCGTTTATGTCCTCTGGACCCCTTGCCCTGCCAATCTTGCCTGGAATCTGGATGTGATCACCAAACCTAAGTCTTAATGACAGAAGTCGGGACAAAAGAACAAAACGACTGAAAAGCCCAGTTTTCTTCTAACCACAAATGCCAGGACTAGCCCCGAATTGCCAACTTCTGGACTTCTTCGTTAGAGAAGGAACAGCGGCTTGAACAAAATATTGGTTCCTGATATATTCTGGAAGCAAGTTACTCTAACGTGAGCTTCACCTTCCCTACCTGAAAAACTGATGAACTTCACAGGCATGTAAGTCTTACATGAAAATGTAATTTATAAAAGCCCTTTAAAGGTGTTGTTAAATGTGTTGGTTCTTATACCTCAGGATAGTCAGAGGCTCTATTTAAAAGTCTTTTAAATATAGAGCTGTTCTGTTTCCCTTGAGTTTTTTATCCCAGAGACTTTCAATTTAAAGTAGCCTTGGCCTTGGGTGATTAACTATACTAACACAAGCCAGGCATACTGAATCCAAGCTGGTAACAATAACAGGTCAAAGAGGCTTTTTTCCTGAAAAATGTGAATTTATCTTAAAATTCAGTTCTGGATATAAAAACCTGACTGTAAGTTTCTGAATATAAACAATGATGAAGTCTGTTTCCCTCTACATACAGCACAACTTTTATACTTAGCCAAAGTTTGCGTGTCAATCTGTAAAGAGGACAGGTTTCAGAATGAATAAAATTGGAAAGCTTGCTAATTATAAGGATACCTCACTTTATTGTGCTTCACAGATACTGCAGTTTTTACAACTGAAGATTTGTGGCAACCCTGTGGTAAACAAGTCTACTGGTACCATTTTTCCAACATTTGCTTATTTCATTTGTGTTACATTTTGGCGATTCTCACACCATTTCAAATTTTTTCATTATTATGTTTGTTATGGTGATCTGTGATCAGTAATTCCAACTTGCTGAAAAACTCAAATAATGGTTAGCATTTCTTAGCAATACGTACATCGTTTAGACATAACGTTACTGCACACTTAATAGACTATGGTATGATGTCAACTTTTATATACCCTGGGAAACTGAACAATTCATTTGACTCGCTTTATGATTTTGCTTTATTGCCCTGGTTTGGAACCAACCTGCAGTATCTCCCAGGTGTGCCTAGAATTTCCCTTCCCATGTAGCTGCTGGAGTGATTAAAAACACAAATCAGATGTTGCTACTGCTGTTTACGAGCCCTCCACGTATCCATGCCCCATTTAAAGAATGAAAATCACGGTCCTAAGCGAGGTCTCATTTACAATAAATCTGTTAAACTTGTCTATTTCTAAAATTTAGTAGATACTTGAACATTTATGACAAATACTTCTCAGATATAATCCTTACAACAGCAGTGAAAAGTTGTGAAATAGGGCCTTGCATTTGTTATTCCAGGTATTATTTATTCCTCATAGTGACCGTTACGTATAAAGTTAGATACTAGCTTTTTAGAGATGGGAGTTTAGACTTTCACAGAAACTCAGGTATTAAGATTAGAGAAAAAACTGAGTAAAATCCTATACATTTAAAGAGATGAGTGCCCATGACTGAATTCTCATCAGACATCTTGAAAAATAACACATCTTGTTTGGGAAAAAAAAAAAAAAAGTAAATAATTGGATAAAAAGACCCCCTAGCCCTGACTCTTCAAAAGCAGCACTAGTAACTGATGTTTTTCCGCAAACTTGTCTATACAAAAGCATATCCAATCACGTGTATTCATTAAAGATACGAAGCTAATGCTGTTCTACCACTTGGTTCGTATGATGGAGCACAGCTGGTGCAGGGACGCTCTACGGATACAGGACAGCGGTTGTGACTCCTAACGCTCAGGTGTTTGCAGGGTGGGCACCGAGCAGAACAGTCAGCACCCTCCCAGTCTGACGGCTGCATTCCCATGAGGGGACCTACTAGTGAATGGTACCATTGCGGCTGCTACGTGGGACAAGATGCCATCCAAAAGCTGGTACACCTCTACAAGCCCACAGGGAGCAGCATGTTTTCCAACCGTCAGCGTTTGTAAAATGGCAAAAATTAAAATGGTGCAGCACAAACAGCAACAGCCTTCATCTCCCTTGTCCACTCTCCCCCCGGCTGCTGGACATGGTGGGTGGGTTTTCCAAGAGCGCTCTGTGTGCGGAGAGACTGGCCCGCTGTCATTTCAGGAAGTTTCCAGGGTGCCCAGCAGTGGTCACAGCACAGCTTACACCGCCCTAAGACCTTAGATTCATCCTCTACTGTTCATGGACGTCACCGGCTGTGATGAGACACCTGAGGAGGTGGGAACACAGCGCAAGGAGTAAAGCAGCTCTGTCTCCTTGCTATCCGGCCGCCTCCACACTAGTTTCCCACGCCCATCCCAGCTGGAAAGCCGCGTCCTTACATTAATTCCCCGTGTGCATAGGGGTGTTTCCTGTATCAAAACCAAATGGAACTGTAGAAAAATCTTACGTCAAACATCCAAATACTTCATGTTTGTAACAAAGCACAGAAAAAACACAATTTTTGGAATCAGAACTGGTGTTCTGACCTCACCACCGGTCCTAATTTTGGCCTTGGTTTTTGCACTCAAGAAACAGGGTGAGCCAGTACAACACAAAGGAAACCGAAGTTACAAATGTTAAAGACAATCCAGCTTGTGACGACATCACTAAAGATGCCAAAACAGTGTTCTCAAATGACTAATGAATAAGCACATGTATGCTTAGTTTAGAACTTAATCGCTGAGAGCGAACACAGGGCCCTGGCAAGAATACCCTTTTTCACTTCCAAGGAGAAAAGAAATCCTGTGGCACTTTCCTTAAGTACAGGCTTCACAGCCGAGAGAGGGCCTGTTCTTCCTGAAGGACTGCCGGGACCCCTTATAGCGACTCTGGACCCCGGCTACCATCTCCCATCTACTACTGCACTCGCACATGACGTCTTTTTACTCCCCCTTCACCTTGGGACTTGGCTGTTGCTCCTACTGCTCCTCTCTGTCGTCCACGGCCAACTAATTCCCCTTCTGCTGCCGGCTGCTGAGGCCTGGGCTGGACGTAGCCAGGCTGCTGACTCTACGGCGACAGATGCAAACAAACAGCATGCTTTTCATGTCAAAAGGTCACAGGTCAGAGGAGACAGTCTTCAACAAGTCTAAGACATTCAAACAGAACTGACCTACGTTGGTAACCAAGTATTGTATTCCTATAAAGAAGTTTCTTCAAGAAGGGTCACTAACTGGGGGATGGGCATGAAGGAGGGCATGTGATGTGAAGAGCACTGGGTGTGACACACAAGTGATCAATCACTGAACTCTACCTCTGAAACTAATACTACACTATATGTTAATTGAATGTCACTAAAATTTAAAAAAGAAGAAGAGTCACTAACTAAAGAACCAGCTCTTCAGATGCTCAGGAAATAAAACAGGATCATCCTTGTTCGGCTCCTATGTCCTTCACAGGACAGTTTTTAAACTTATCTTCAACAGCCTAAGCTGATAAAGACGTAGCAGGTTGTTTTTCGGGTACACGTTGTGTAGGTGAAAGGTAGAGCACTTACCGCAGCGGCCCCCACGTGCTGCACCGTCTCCTGCCCCCGGGCCCGTCCTCTGGCTCTGGCTCTGGCTCGCCCAGTCATTCTTCTTCCTCAAGGGGAAACAGTTGTAAAGACAACACAACACACACAACTACGTTTGACGGTTTCTACAATGTTCCTTTTAGATGTATTGAAGATTCCACAGTAAGCTCCTGAATCAGCACCTATTTTTCTAGCCTCTCCTAACAGAGTTGAAGGCAATACCCCTGCCTTCAACAAACACAAGTCCTTACTGTGCACTGGGCGGTGTGCTGGGTGGCAGGGCTAAAGTGCAAGGCTTGTTTTAATATAGACTTCCATTTTTTGTCGAATTACTATCTCAACCAAACTTTGGAAAAACTGTTAAAGAGACGTCGGAGGGCCGGTGACTAGCTCTTTCACATGTGGGTATGTATCTATGAAGCTGGGCCCGTGCTGCTTGTTTGAGGTCAGGCCCATTTCCCTAACTCTTCCACGTGCCCACTGCATCCTCCTGAGTCCTCCCACAGCGCCACATGCAGCTTACACACACCCAAACCTCTCTCTACAGCACACCATTTACGTTCCACAGTTTCATTCTTGGTGACCGGCACGACCATCCACTGTGCCTCTAAAGAAAAAGGACGGAGCCCCTGCTCTCCCAATGCCTCCTCTGCTGCTCGTACTCCTTTGGACCGCACAGCGCTCGCCATCTCAACACCACAGTGTAAGTGGCTGGGAGCCAGGGCTCATGTTAGGATCAGAGAGACCACCATGCATAAAGTGGATGCACCCCCCAGCCCCACCAGAGCAGAAAGCCTTGTCGTCAGGTCACGCAGGGTGGGGACCTCAGAGCTAGCCTGCCCGAACGCGACTCCTTCACAGCAGGGACATAACCTGAGATTCACGTCTTTGTTTGTGAAACGGAGTTTTAATAACCTACCACGCAGGTCCAGCATGTGGTTCAAGTGAGAACACACATGATGGGCTTATAAAGTGCTTGGCACACAGTGAGCATTCAACACATCTTAGCCCTAGTGGGAAAGGCGATAAAATTGTACCCACAAGTTTTTAAAAGTTTAATGAAGGAAATAAGCAGGATGTTCCTACAGAAAAGCAAGCAGGAACTAATCTACGTACTGAAGTCGGCCTCCTGTGAAGCCATCACTTAAACAGATGCAAGAGATCAGGAAGCGGCAGGCACATGGTACCAGGCTTCCAGAAAAAAGCGAAGTGTGGAGAGTGCAGCCCGCCTGTGGAGCTGGAAGATGCCCTGCGTGGCTGCAGCGCACTAAGGAAGGAGAGCTGGTGCATCAGAATGCGCAGGGCCTTGCAGGCAACAGGAGGGAGAGCGGATCCCACCTTCAATGCGATGAGAGACCACCGAAGGTTCTAAATACCGAGAGGCAGCCTGCGACATCATTTACATTTAAGATCACTTTAAGTCAGGTCTTCATCTTTTCTGTTTTCACAGCTTCTAAAATTTTTTGTTCGATGAGGACCTTCCTAGAGACAAATCTAATGACGTTCTCCAACAGTGAGAGACCTCGCTGACTTCCCATTACGTTCTACAGGATTAGAAGCAAACGCGTGGACTCACCAAATCACAAAACCCTACACAATCTGACTCTGACTCCGCAGCTTCCAGAGTAGGTTCAGAATGTGATCTGAAGTGCCAGCATTTTAGAACTAATTTTTAACGCCACTTTGAAGTTGTGTGCACTTATACTGCCGTATTAGGACGACAGCCACACACACCTCGCTGGCACACGGGACCTGCTGGTGAGCACGCTCGGGTCTCCTACTGACGGTGCGCAGAATGAGACTTCTCTTCTTCCACACACAGGCCACAGAGGCTCGTGACCCACCTTGCACCAGGGGACAGCCTTTGCTAACGTGCCCCTCTCTTCCCCCTGCATTACAGCAGCTCCCACACTGTGCGGGGATTCCCTTCCTCCTCCCGCACACCTGCACACTAGGCTGCTAGTCCTAGTTTGGTCCCGGCACCCAGCCCAGCACGGCGGGGGGGGGGGGGGCTCGCAGTAACGGGAGGTTTGGGTTGTTTTCTAAAGCAGTAATAAGCTGAGCTGCCACCTCCAGTGTTTCTACAGCGCAGCTCTCAAAACGGGATTTCTCTCCAGCAACACCTGGAACTTGTTGGAAACACCAGTTAGACAGAGGAGGCCCCCACTCCCGACCTAGCGGGTCCACAGTTCATCCCAGCTGGCCTCCAGGTGGTTCTCACATCACCCAAGACACCCCGTAACCACACGCAGGTGGGTATGCAGGCCCGGAGCGGAGGGCTGTCCGGTACAGCTGGGGTTCCCGGCTGTATCCCTCCAACCTCGGGTGCCCCCGATGGGCGACAAATTCCACGGTCACCCTCAAGTAAGACTCCGAGGTGGTGCCTACCACCGTCCCAGCTAGAAACAACACCGTTCAAACTGCTGTTCACCGGGAGCCACGCCGCCCCGGCACCCGCCCCCGCAGACCGGAGACCACAGCCCCCGCCCCCGGACAGTGTCGGGGAATGCCCTCTGACCCAGGCAGTGCCCACCAATGCCCCTGACCCTTAGCACTGTCCAGGAATGACCTCACCCCCAACCCAGACAGTGCTCCCCAAACCGGGAGCGCCCCCCCAGCCCTTGTACTGTCCAGGAGTGACCCCTTCGACCAAGACAGTGCCCCCCGAACTCAGCAGTGCCCCCAACCCTGAGCAGCATCCAGGAATGCCCCCTGACCCAGACAGTGCCCCCCAAACCCAGGCAGCGCCCAGGAATGCCCCCTGACCAGACAGGAAGCCCTCAAGCCCCAGCAACGTCCCAGAATGCTCCCCGACCTTGGAAGAGGCCCCCCTCCCCCCCGCACTGCCAGGGTACGCCCCCCACCGCCCACGGCGGCCCTCCAATGGCACGCCACCCCCAAGCCCACGCACCCCGGTCCCCCAGGCGCCCCGCCTCACCAGGCCCACCGCTGCAGCCGCAGGAAAGCCCGCGCACCCGGCCGCCGCAACCCCGAATCGCCTGAATCACCTCAGCACCCCGCCGCCGCCGCCGCCCTAACAGCCGCCGCGCCGCCAACCGTCACCCCACGCAGGATCCCTCCGCGCCGGGACTTCGCGCCCCGACGCCCAACCCAGCGAGCCGCGCTCCTCCGGCCCGCGGAGCCGCGCCGCTCGCCGTCACTTCACCGTCAGCCGCGGCTCCCTCCCACGCGTGGGCCGTCGCGGGCGCGGACGCCGGCGGAAGGAGCGCGGCGTTCCTTTCCTAGGCGGAAGGACAGCTGCGCCGGGCGGTGAACTCGTCGGCACGTGACAGCCGGCTAACGGCGCGGCGAGGACGTGCGCGCGCTGCGCCCTGATTGGCCGGCACGCGCATGGCGGTTGGGGAGGGGGTGGGGGACGGGGCGGGGCCAGGTGAGCCCCGCCCACGCCCCGCCCAGGCCTCGTGCCGTGCCCTGCGGCACGCGCTGGCCTCGTTCCCAGCTCCCGAGCAGCGCAGTGCGAGGGGTGGGGCCTGGGTCAGTTGTGAGAGTGGGACCAGGTGCAGAACAGCGGACTGAACCTTGGGTGGCCCCTTCGAAGTAGAAGCTATTTAGCTCATCAAACAGAAATGAGATTGGAATTTTGCCCCCAAGTAAATAAAGTGCATTCCAGAGCCGGAGCGGCGGAGGGACGTGCACCTGCCCATTTAAGTGCGCACAAATGGTGTGCGGGGTGCACGCGCGTGGACGTGCACGGCAGCGGTCGTCAGCCTTACTCACCTGCGTCATCACCTGGGGGGCTGGTTAAAGCACGGACGGCTCCGCCCCTCCCCTAGGGATTCTGATTCGGCAGGTTCAGTTGGCCCGTCGGCTAATCACCGTCTCTTGACAATTTGCTGGTGATGCTGCCCCAGCTGCTCCCGGGTCCACCTTGATACGAGGGAATTAGATGCCTTCGATAGGAATTTGTTTCGTCGTTGGGCAAACCCAACACAATTAAAACTATCGTAAGCATCGTAAAATAGGACGACAGTTATTCGTCAGGCTGGGAAATGGGACTCCTTATGTAGCTAGTTACGTCCAGTAATAATTCAATAGTTTCTTTTTTTTTTTAATTTTATTTATTTATTTGCGAGAGAGAATGAGATAGAGAGAGCATGAGAGGGGGGAGGGTCAGAGGGAGAAGCAGACCCCCCGCCGAGCAGGGAGCCCGATGCGGGACTCGATCCCGGGACTCCAGGATCATGACCTGAGCCGAAGTCGCTTAAACAACTGAGCTACCCAGGCGCCCCAATTCAATAGTTTCTTAAGGATGGAGTGTAGGGGGTTAGTGGCGATAGTTATCTAGAGGGGCTTGTCTTAAAGCCGCATTTGAACAGCAGACATTATATTTTAATACTGAAGCGTGTATTTAGGGGGCTTGGGGTTGGACGGGGCGCAAGGTTTCCCAAGCCATCTCCCCAAGTCTGCGGTCTCCTGGGTCGAAGGGAACAGGCTGGATTTCAGGGTTTACCGCACTCACTTGATTGTAAAATCCCAGAAGGGGGAACTTCTGAAAAACACATTCCCAGGTAATCCTGATTCAAGAGGTTTGGGATGGGAGCAAAGAATTTTAAGAAGAGTCACCAGGTGCTTTTTATGCCTAGAGAATTTTGAGAAATTTAAGACAAGATCTGTGATCTTGACATCAGACACACTTAAAGGATTTATGTGAAAGGGGAGACGCCCAATTAGGTTTTTTGGGGAGTGGCTTCACTTTTTAAAAAATGCACCATTTGGAATGATACAATACAAACCTTCACTTTTCTAGGAGGGATTTAAGATGTTGGTGAGAAAGATGTTCTGTGATCTTGCCAGCAGATGGAGCAATAAAACAAGAAATAAGTCTTCAGCTTCAACTGGGTGTGGGGGAGAGAAATACCAGGAATGCACCTTACAGGGAAGAGGTAACCCGTTTGCGTGTTTCTCTTCTCTGCGCGCCTCAACTCCTTGGAACCGCTAAAGGCACGCCATCCCTGAGCATCTGGGTGGGTGCGTTGTCTGAAATGGGTGGTTTCTAAAGACATAGGAAGTTGTGGTACAGCAAGACAGAGGCAAACCCCTCGCTCTTCTGATGGTGCAAACAGTACACCTCATAAAGCTCACCAAAAATTTCAAAAGAAAAGCTGCGGAGAGAAATCGGGGAAACATTTTTTTAAGGTTTCTATTTCGACAGCATGACGTAGTGGTGCCAGTTACTGGATACAGCTACGCGCCTAATGCTGGAAACTGAAAAGTGCATGGATGTCGATTCTCCTTCCAGGAGCTTGGTCAAGAGCGGGGGTGGGGGGAGGTGGGCATCCATCACCGAGAGGGAGCAGAGCACGACGAGGGACCTGGGTGCTGGGAGGGAGGTCACTTGGCAGAATGCTGCTGCAGTCTGAAAGGGTGAATGGGATTTGCAGGGAACCCTGTGGTCCAAGCAGGCGGGGGTGCTCAGGAAACAGCCGGCGATTTGGTACAGAAGGAGCGATGAGCACGTGCAGAGGAGGGTCAGGTGACGACATTGGAGGGGCAGACCAGGTTCTAGAAGTTGAATGACAATAAACACTGAATATCCCGGCTGTTGAATACACCCTGCCAGGTGCTGGGAATAAGACACACTCTGTCCTCCTGATGATGCCAAGCCCCGGGGCCCCCAGACGGAATGTGTGTCACGGTGAGGCCAGTCACGGACCAGGGGGAGAGCAGGGACTGTGGCAACAGGCCCATAAACACCATACCTGAACTGGTCAGAGACTTCCGGGTCCTAGCCAGACCTTACTAAGAGGGAATGAGGGCTCAGATTTGCTGGCTCTCATGTTATCTTATCATTGCTGTTTGCTTTGATTCCTTGAGGGGAGTTCATGTAACATAAAATGAGCCATTTTACAGTGAACAGTTGAGTGGTACTTAGTACATCCACAGTGTTGTGCAAACACCACTTCTCTCTAGTTCCAGAACATTTCCATCAGCCCAAACCCCACTCCTATTAAGCTGTCAGTCCCTGCTCCCTCCTCCTTGCCAGCCCCAGGACACCGCAAATCTTCTTTCTGTCTCTATGGATTTATCTACTTTATTCATGCCATATGAACACACTCATACAGTATGTGGTCCTTTGTGGCTTTCTGGCTTCTTTCACTGACTATCATGTTTTCAAGGTTCGTCCTTGAACGCTGTAGCATGGATCAGTCCATTCTTTTTATGGCTGAATAATATGCCCCTGTGTGGATAGACTGCATCTGTTTATCCATTTACCCGTTGAAAGATGGGTCTAATGTCTTTAAAGGGAAGCAGGGATCCTGGACACCTGTGGACCCAATGTCAGCCTGTGGCCACTAGGTTTGTGGTCACATCACATCCTCATGTCCAAATCCAGTGGACACCTTTTGGACCTACCTGTCTTCTCTGTACCATTGAGAGTGATGCTTGCTCCTTGTACCCCAACAATAGCGCATCCTGCCTTCCCTGACCGGGGTGTTCGTCCTCCTGCGTATGATTCATAGGTGTGCCTTTTTCTGCCCATGTCCTAAATGTCCATGGCAGCAGTTTCAAAGTATGGTCCCCAGTCCAGCAGCATCCACGTCACCTGGAATCTGCAGGCAACTCTTGGGTCCCACCCCAGGACTGTTGTTGAATCGGGACCTAGGGGGGGAAGGCCAGAAGCCTGTGTCTAAGCAGCCTGCTGGTTGGTTCTGATTCACCAGGTAGTGTGAGATCCATGGAGCTTACCCGCTGAGCAAGGGGCTGAGCTTAGCACCCACTCAGTCTTGGGATGGCCCACTCCTTACCATGACCTGAGATGGCCTCTTTAGCGCAACGACCCTGATGTCTGTGTGTAGCTCCTGAGCCCCATTCCGGTACATTCTAGTAGGGGTTCCCCTGTCCTCAGTTGCTTTGCCGGTAGTCTCGTAAGCAGAAGGTACAAGACAGCGGTGGGAAGTTTGGGAAAAGCTTCTACTCGTAGCGAGCTTTTTCTAAAAGTAAGAGAAGAAATTAAGCTTCAGTGATATTTGAGGTTTCGGTGTTGCTGGTGCCCTCCCGTGGCTCCTGTGTCTGTCAGTGAGGTGTCCGTGGGCAGGGCTCGACCGCCGTCCCATGTCCTGCCTGTTGTCAGAGCACTGGGACCTCTTGCGGTTTGCGTGTGGCCTGCAGGGAGTGGCTCGGGTTATGGAATCCAACTCCCTCTGAACCAACCCTCTCAAAATGGAGAAGCTTCTGGAACAGATTCCTGCAACAGAACCATGGCGGAAAAACAACAAAAAATGCAAACAGAACCAAACAGCAAGACCGTGTTAAAACCGATGCTTGTGCTTATGATATAAGCGTTGTGTAGTCCTACATGCTGAATCCCTTCCGTAGTAAGGAAGATCCTTTCTCAAATAAGAATTTTGTCTTTCAAGTTTTCATTTTAAAGATGAAATTTGATAAAATAAATAATTTTTAATTTATA